CGCAGGTGTGCTTATCAACAGTGCATGGGTAGCATTGACGTCAACCACATAGGGCCTCGCTGCACTACTCTCAACATGCACAAAAGACAATAATATTGGCCGTGTATCTTTCCATATTCTAGCGGAAGATTCACTCTCGTTTTGCACATTTCAAGAGTAGTGCAGCGAGGGCCATAGCAGGAGTTACATGTTTGTTCATTTCACCAATCTCTTCGTTTGAAAACTTATGTTTTTTTGTTTTTTTTTAAATAAGAAAAGACTCGTTGAAAACCATGGTAGGTAAAGCAAGGAACAACATTCGCCCAACTACTGGTAGCGGTTGCCCAGATCCTCAACACAGGCAGCCTCAGATTTCTAAGTACTTTTAAAAAATGGCTCTCTTCGATTTGTTTTTCCGTCCAGATCTCGCACAGGCAGCCAAAGGTAAGCCCCTAGCATGATTCGGGGCATACCGAGCACAAAAACCTTTCCACAAAGATTTGTGGACGTAATTGCGGACAGATTCATCCAGGTTCCACCGTCACTGAGGTCAGATACATAAAGGGAAGACGCTACCTTCTACTCCCGAACACAACGTAAGGTCATTATAATTGTATTTGGGGCGTCTTTCGGTCTAAATACAAGCAATAATGACCGTACGTTGTATTCGCGTGAAGAAGGCAGTACGATATGTTCTCAAGCTCATGAGCAGCGCATATCGCCAGTTGCGCCTTTTTCGACATTAAAAAAACATTATTCCACTTTCTTTTTTATTATTTTCTTTCTTTCCCATATGTCATTTTCAGATCGGAGATTGGCCAATGGCATAAAACTAATCGGGGTAAAAAGAGACCTACGGCCTAGCATTGTGAAAAAGACACGTTGCGGGTGCACTTGGCCGTGTTCTAGCAGGAAGTTCATTCTCATTTTGCACATTTCCAGAGCTGTGCGGCGATACTCCTCTTTCATCCTGGCCTCTGTTTTTTCAAATCCAATGAAGCACACAATCTTTCCATTAAAAAAAAAGACTTGTCCTTCGGGACATCCGTTAAAATTGGAACGATACAGATTAGCATGGCCCCGACGCAAGGATGACACCAGACGACGACCCTCGTCCATCACCCATCCGAACATGCAGCCTCCGCGCAGAAACCAAAGCTGAATTCGCACTACTGAGTCTTTTGCTCGTTAAATAACGTGATTGCGGTCGGATTCATCCAGGCCGGGTCATAAATGCTGTCGCGACCATTAAAGACCGCGCCAGTGTGAATACGCCCCAATAAGCCTGACCCGGGTCCCACACAGAAATGATGAGAACAAAAGACCGTCAGTCCGTCATAAAAGAGTTTAAACCATTATCCGCTCCATCCATCAGCCGGGGTCCCTTTTGAGCGCAGCGCAACTTTCAGCCGTCAGGCCTACCGGGGAGCCCACTAGCAGCGTTGAGTTTCCTCAACGCCTGAATCTGGACGTTGTCTGTGGATATGTGCAGAAATCGCGTTGAGTTTTCTCAACCGCACATCTCCACGAACGTGTCCAGATTCAGGCGTCGAGGAACCCCCTCAACGCTGCTGGTGGGCCCTGGCCCCGAACCGGACCACAATGGCTGGCGCGTCAGCCAAAGCAAAACTATTTTGTCGCGTTGGTGGTTCGGGACGAAACGGCACGCAGGGCATTTTTAGGCTCGGCATCAATAGCTCGGCGAGGTACTGGTGGGTCTAAAAATCTGCTGATAAACACCCCACGAAAATAATGGGCCTGGCTGAACCACTCACCGAATGTTCAAAACGACATGCCAAGATACACAGCCATAAACTTCGGTCTTTTTGTGAATTTGGCAAGTTTCCGCTAGCACATGCAAAAATACCCACCAGTATAGACATGCACGCATTTGGCCGCTTTGTGGGCCAGCTTCTTCCGGACGAGTCCAACATTTGAACGCGCCAGGTCGAGAAAGCGTCTAAATGCATATAGAGTGCTGTGTAGTGCAGCGAGGCCCTATACCTTGCGGAACTAAGGCATCAGAAACTGCGTGTACACGAACTCCACAATCGAGACCGACTCACAATAGAGACCGACACGCATCCACGGATTTCCCGCCAGCGTACCGCAATTGTGGACTTCCCGTGGGTAAAAGCCGTATACCCTACTCTCACAGCAGAGCCGTTGGATGAACCAGGCGATTCATGTGTCTGCTGAAGCCTCTCTTCTCTCTCGTACACGCATGGACTCGAACGCGGGCAGGCACACACCAACAGACCTAGGGCCTCGCTGCACTACTCTCGACATGCACACAGACAAAAATGATGGCGGCGTATCTTTCCATATTCCAGCTGAAGATTCACTCCTTTTCCACATTTCAAGAGTAGTGCAGCGAGGCCCCTACTCACCCAGGCACGCAGACGACCAGGCGCACGTGCACACGCAGAAACATACACTCGTGTATGTACGTGGCTGTTTTTGCACCTACATTCACTCGGGAAAAGTCTGCTGAGTAGGTAAACGCGGGACGAAACAAACTGGCGCCGTCGTGAACTTTTGGTGGACGTGTACATGGCTCCATACATTATAGTGGAACAGTGCCGGAAAAAAAAAAAAAAAAAAAAAAACGGTGCCGGCGCATAAAACCCGAACTATCAAATAAAAAAAAAAAAAAAAAAAAAAGCTGAACTAGCCCCCGACTACGAAGGATGAATGGTACCTTCGTCAATAAAATCCGTGGTCAAGTTATTGTCAGTGGAAGTGGCGATACGCAACCCCCGCGTCAATAAAAACAACCCCCGTGCAGCATTCCCGACCTCTCTCCATTGGTAATAAGAGCTTTTGATTCTTCCAAACACAAGAAAAGAAAAAAAAACAACGTGCGACATCGTGAACTCCAGGGGCGAGGGCGGGGGCGAGGGCGCCGTAGGCTGTGTGAAATAAAAGCTGCTTGAAGGCGGCTACACTCCGGGATAAACAAGACGGTGACACGTCAACTCCTTTTCGATCTACAAAAAATCGGTAGAGATAAATAAAACCCCGCGATGGCTCTTCATACCCAGCAGAAAAACCTCTGTGATGAAGGGTACATATACTGCAGACGTCGGTGGATAAACTAAACTCAAAACGTGTAGTGGTGGGCATTCCTCGTGCCGAGAAAAGTCCACTCTGGCTCTTAGGGGCTTTAGTGCGATATCCGCCACAGCCTGTGGCGGAAGCGTGGAGAGTGCATCTGGCCACGTTGTAGCACGTAGTTTCATCGTGATGAGAAAACTCCGCTATGGCTCTCGAAATATGAACAACAAAAGTGCGGCGGGTGCATCTGACCATATTTTCTGCACTAAGTTATTTCTCGTTTTGCACATTTCGAGAACGGTGATGCGATGCCGATAACCTCTACGCGGAGGCTTATAAGCTCTGTGGAGGTCTATGCGTGATGAAAACCAAACTGTTGGCGGATACGCGGTCGTGACGGTGGGGAATTAAACTCCCGGGTGGGGAATAAACTCAGCGGAAGAGTGATGATGGATAAGTTCCCGAGAGATGGTAGTGAATAACCTCCAGAGCGATGGAAGAGGATACGCTCCGTAGCGGCGGCTGAAAATCTCCGCGGCGGCGAACCAACGAGCCTACCGTCTTCCCCCGAACATAACGCACCCTAAATATGAATGTATGCAAGCTATATTTCCTGCCAGATACAGCCAAAATGAATGTGCGTTTTGTTCGTGGGAAGACGGTAGCTCAGTTGGATACCGCATGAACTGTTAAGACCAAAAAAACAAAAAAATAGACCAGAGTTGGAATCCACATGTAACGAGATGAACAAAACATAAAATGTGACTCGAATGTTTCCCAAAAACAAAAAAGAGAAAAAAGTGACTCGGAAAAAAAAAAGAAAACCGCCAGGCTGGTGGTGCACAGATTTCTGGTCTGGTCGCGAATAAAATCCGAATGAAGGGCATCGCTGCACTACTCTCGACACTCACAAAAGACAAATATCATAGCGGTGTATCTTTCCATAATCTAGCCGAAGATTCACTCTCGTTTTGCACTTTTCAAGACTAGTGCAGCGAGGCCCAAAGTCCGAATAAAGTCCGTGAGCTGGTCCTTGCGTGCGGCCACGGTCGAAACGGAAAAAGTGCGAGCGCATCTTCCCCAGAAAGTGGTCAGGTGCACCCATTACTGTTGATAGTAATATATGCATCTGGTCACACCCTGTGGGACCATGCAGTCGTCCTTCATTCCGACAGTGATGTTGCGATACCCAAAACCCGTGCTGGGGCGTCAGCGCTCTTGCGAACGATCAATCGATCAGACGGGAAGCGTCTCTGCCACTTCGTGGGTTGTCGTATTGCTCCATTGGGGTCGAAGAGATGTATTTTTCCAACTATGGACAAATTACGTAACGCTCTTTTGCTGCCAATCTACATAGAGGTCACGAGTTTTTATTTTTATTTTTATGGTTTTTTGGGTTCACAAGTTCGAATACTGGTTCCCTCTGAAGGGGGTTATCAGGCAAGTTTTTTTTTTGAAGAATAGCTTGGTTTCATTATCAGGCAAGTTTGTGCGGGGGGTTATCGAATACTTTTTTTCTTGTTCTGGATTAATGCCAATGCTATAGAGAATCACACAGAGTCACCCAAGCAAATGCGCCGACAAGCTTCATTATGAAAGTAGGCGGGTCCTGTCTCCGAAGAGAAGAAGATTCACAGCTACAGTAGGTACAGTTGAAGAATATACCCATGTCTTACTCACACTACCAGCAGTATCTCACATGTATCTACCGCATTTACGGCCACACCTGGATGTATCATGCCAAGAATTCCGTTCAGAAGTACGTAAAAACGTCGTAGTGTGAGCATGGCCTCGAACTAGCCCCTCGAAATTGCAAAGTCGCAGGATCAGCGGGCAGATCGAATTCACCTTTTTGCAAGGATTCGTTTTTGGCTGCTGTTTATGCGATTTTGCGATTTTAGGGTCTGGTGCGAGTACGCACTTAATAAACAGATCGACGACAAGAAGAAGAGTAGAGCACATACCTCTTTCAAGACTAACATCCCCAAGAGCAGTTAATACGTCCGCTTCTTCGACCGTATGGCCCGGTTGTCTCTCATGGATGACACGTGCCGAGTCTAGAAGCTTCCATGCCAATTCGAGATCGTCTTCCTCTTCCTCTTCCGCTCCCGCAGCGGTATCCTCTCCTTCAGCACCATCTTCCCCTCCTTCCTTCTCTTCATCGCCGTCCTTCTCATCGGCAGCTCCTCCGTCTACTTCCTCAACTCCGTTGTCCGCACCCGGGGCTGCAGCGGCGTCGCCCTCTTTCTTGTCCTCTGCCGCTGCTTCTCCCACTTCAGCGGCCTCCGCACTGGATGGCTTCTCGCCCTCCACACCGTCCACACCGTCCTCGGCTGCATCCTCCCCACTTCCTGCCTTGCCATCGCCGTCGTCTCCCTCACCCTCATTCGCTTCATCATCATCATCTGCATTGTTCACGCAACAGATACGACAGAAATCCATGACGCCAGTGAGCCAAAGGGCCTCTCAATGACAGCCTCTCACAGCCAAAGGGCATTTCAATAGCGGCAGTAAATATACTATTCTCCCATGCAAAAAGAGAACCCCAGGCAAGATAGTGACAGTACATGGGAGCAAATGATGGGGGAGGGAGCGAGAGAGTGGACGGATCGCGTCCCATACATGTGAACAGAGCGAGAGAAAAACAAATCCGAGATCTATTATAACTCTCTCCTACTCAAAACCGAATGAAAGGTGGATAAGGCTTGAAAAAAAGCACTCGCAAGATCTGGCGAATGCAAACGGAGGATCATCAACAAAAGCCTTTGCAGCCGGGAGTAGTAAGGAGAGAGAATGACGAATGGAAGCTCTCGACAAGATCTAAACGGAGCACACTGCATTTTCCGCAAACAGCATAACAACAGACGATAAACCACCTCAACGTGGCCATAGATCTCTCAAATAGCCAGGGGAAAAAGGGTAAATAAAAGCAGTGGAACAACCAACAAAAAAAAAAAAAACAGCTCTAAGGGAAAACAAAACTCCCAAGGGCAATGGGATTGGCGCGCTCTCAACGCGCCAATCCCGACCGTTCAAGAGTAAATTCATGACGCGAAGCCGATCCTGGTCCGAGCGCCAAGGAGAAACGAACAGACTTCCCCTCCAATGCACAGACCATTCCACATGTATCTGAAGCTGGAAGTCGGCCCGATACATTCGAAATGCTCGATCAGTCGGTCCACATGTGTCTCATCGATAACGAAGTCCAAACACAACACAACTAGAACGGTGTTGTGAACTGGAAAGCGGCCCCATATTCCTGTAAGTATGTCTGCCGAACGACGACGCCTTGCGATCCTGGCCAGAAAGGTCAGGAGGTCAATACACCCAAAGAAAGGATTGCTTGCACACACATTCGGACACAGCCTTACTGGCGGTCACAAGAACTTACTCGCCGTCACAACAGAAACGGGTGGTACCGATCCTCTAGTCCTCTAGCCTTGCGAGGACGTGCAACAACAGAAAAACTACAGAGCTTCGGGACAGTTTTAAGGGTAGGAAAGGATAAAAGGAACAGGAAGGAAAAGGGCGGGAGAACCGGAGAGGCAACGGCGACAGACGAGAGGACGGGTGTTATGGAGGAGGCAGGTATTCGGGGAGGAGTGCGCTGTCGAAGGACGGCGGCATTGAGGAAGGACGGCGGTGTTGAGAAGCCACAGCTGTTTTGGGAAATATGGGCGGTGTTGCGGAAAAGATGGGCGGTGTTGAGGAAGATGGGCGGTGTTCGGGAAAAGATGGGCGGTGTTGGGGAAGATGGGTGGTGTTGGGGAAGGTGGATTGTGTTGGGGAAGATGGGCGTTGGGGCGCGTAGGACTGTGTTTGGAAAGGAGGACTGATAAGGAAGTAGGCTAATGTTGGAGAAAGTGGGCGATTTGGGTTATAGTGCAAATGATAGGCGGAGGAGAAGGAGACGAGGGTATGGGGAGGGAATCGGGGGCGTTAGGAATTGGGAAAAGTTTACGGGGGGGTGGACAAAGCGTGAGACGAGGAATCATGGAAGGAAAGTAGATGAGAAAGGCCAGGCGAGAGCAAGCTACAACAGAGATGGTTATAGAGAGGAAATCAGAGCCGGAAAAGGAGTACGAGAACGGAGGTGAGAAAGTGGAATGCGTCGAAAGGTGTAGGAAGGAGGAAAACGAGCAAGGGAAGAAGGAAACCGACAAGAGAGGACGGTGGGGTATGGGAAGGGAGGTGGGGGGGGGAAGGTAGGGGAGGGGAACGGCAAAGTAGATGATGGAGAGGCAAAGAAACAAACAAACGGGTGCGGAGAGGGAATAAGTGGAGAGGATAGGGAAGGCGATAAGCCAAATAGAGCCAATCTGGGGAAAGGTAGATATGATTGGTAGGGCACAACCGAGCCGACAAAGGGCGACGTGAAAGGTCGAGTTAGTATGGAGAAACTGGGACCCGCGAGAAAGGAGGGGTGAACTCACAAGCAAGCAGCGCACACGGGAAGAAGAAGACAAAGGCCAAATGCAGGGGAAAATGAAACCGAAACGGAAGGCGGGACGAAAGGCGACAGGGAAGGCGAGAGAAGGCGGACAGAAAGGCAGACGAACAAGGGGAGCTCGGTGCAAAGGCTAGATGAAACAGAGAGGGGGCGAGAGAGGGAGAGAGAGGACATGTCACCTGCCTAGGGAATACAAGGCGAGAAGGCACGCAAGACTAAAGGTAGGACTAAGGAATAGACTAAAATGGCAATATGATTGGCGAGACTAAAAGGCGATATGTAAGGAACAACTGAAGGCGATGTGAAACGCGAGAGAAACGGCGAAGCCGAAGAGAACGTAGACAAGGACAAAAGATGACAACACGAAGCAGGGACATGAGACATATGATCATACAACGGCGACGGTAGAGAGAAACGAGGAAGACGAAATGAGGATGTGGTGATGAGGCCTCGACAGACTTTAAGAGGGTACCGAAAACGGAACAGATACACTTTACTACATTCAGTGATACGCGGTTCCTAAACTGCACGGGTCTGGCAAACTCGGCGTCATTAAGACTCAAAATCAACGGTCAAAGAGGGGTGAGAGAGTGCAGGCAGAGGAAGCAACCGCGAGCAAAATTGAACGTAACTGGTGGAAGCGCCACCACCGAGGGAGGGAACATATGTCTCCTTAGCAAAAGGGCCAGAAACGGAGAAGGCAGGAACGAAACTACTGGATCCAAGAGGCGAGGAAGACCAAAAACCCCAATGACCGAGGGATCACAAGCGGTGGAAAGCTGGAACAACGCGCAAGGATGGGAAAGAGAACCCGAGACCGCTTGGAATGATGACGGAGCAAGTAGTGAAAGATGCTGGGCAGAGGCCAGAGAGAGGGGATGCCCGAGGTCGATAGGAAGGGTTAGATAACAGCGAGGACAAGAGAGAAGGGCGCGGGGAAGGGGGKGGAGGGGGGGGGAAGAGAGGMGACACGAYGAAGAATATGAACGACCGGAACAGGATAAAGAGTGGCAAGAACAGAAAAGGGAAGGAAGAGAGACGAAAACCGTGTACCGTGGAGAAAACGAGGCGAGCAGGAAACCAGAGGTAAGAGGAATCGTACTAACCGCAAGGCATTTGCGCCGCCTCCTCTTCGGCTCTACTTAACTCCACAGCCTTCTCGCCGAGAACATCCCCTTCCGACTGCGCTTTTTGAAGAAGAGCGGATCCATACTTGAAATACGCGCTTGCACACTCCGGAGCAAGCTCCCCGAATTTCTCTACTCTGATAAAAGATAACGGGAACCAATTAACGCCCACAGAGTGAGAACACAAACCACATACACAATCATTTTAGGAGAGTGCTACACGTGTTGGGGGTTAACAGGGCCCTCGCATACTAAACGGTAGCCAGTTCGAATCCTGATGGAAACGAAAGCATACATGTTGGGGGTGACACGACAGGGCCCACCATGAAACAACCCGTTTCCTGTACTTCGCTGTTATGGCAGACCATCATTGAGTCAGGAGCTAAATCGGAAAGCGGAAACAAAACGACACAACATACCAAGCTGATCACCCGTCGCAAACCTACAAAGTCCGGTGCTTTCTCGCAAACAAAGACGCGCAGCCCTCAGCGTACTTCTGGTCCGCTTCCACCATAGGCACAAATAAGACAAAGACAGTAAGTACTTGATAGTAGATACTCTGCTTACGATTCATCTGATTATCCTGATAAACATTTTGAAAAGGAAAACGCACATAGGCTTCTGAAGACCACAGGCACGCCTTGACGACCCGGTTCTCTCTCTCTCTCTCTCTCTCTCTCTCTCTCTCTCTCTCTCTCTCTCTCTCTCTCTCTCTCTCTCTCTCTCTCTCTCTCTCTCTTTCTTTCTTTTGCCCCGACCTCTCACCCCGCCCCGCTGGTCATATGACCTGATCGAGAGAGCTCCCAGGTGAAAGCGAGCGATCCAATCCATACCGAGACGTACCTCAGCTCCAATGCTCGACTCAATGAGGCTATTGCCTTCTCGTATTCTTCCGCTTTCAGGAAGGCGGAGCCCTCAGCGTACTTCTGGTCCGCTTCCACCATAGGATCAACTTGCTGCTGCGTCTCAACCTCAACCGCCTCGACAGCGCCGTTAGCGGACGCCATTGCCCCTTCACTCTAGGGCAGACCCGACAGTGAAACAGATCACTTCACAGAATGAGCTCCCGTACTCCGGCGATGACCAGCCAGGAATATTGAGCTAACCGAATGGATCAACCGACGCGCAACGACAAGTGGGTGAGGATATGGATTACGCCTGCGCAGACACAGAGAGAGAGACACACAGATAGATACACAGAGAGAGAGAGAGAAGGGCAGAGAGATAAAGACGACAGACTGGGAGAGAGAAAGAGATAGCAAACTTACGTTTGGCCCGATGGAGGGAGAAAGGGCAAGAGAAGAGGCGAGTGTGGGACAAGAGCGGAGCAGACCAGACCAGACCAGACCAGGCAAGATGCTTTCTCACGCCAACTCCGCTTCTCGAGCTCCGCCAAATGTGTCCCGCAGCTTCTACTCTCCTTCACTGTCTTTCTCTCTCTAACCGGGCTCACACTGAGAGCATTAATAAAAGTGATTTCTCGCCGGGGCAGACACAGCAGAAGCCGAAGCCGAAGCCGAAGCCCGACCGACCGAGGTGGCTGTGCCCGTCGGAGCGGGAGCAGTCGTGAAAAAAAGATCCGCGAAATTGCCGGCCACGCGCCCCCCCGCCTCGCGCTCAAACGGGAGAAACACAGGGCTCAATCCGGCGGAATCCGGCGGCGCGAGCGCGACAAGAGAGCGAACCAAACCTTTCAAAACGCGGGGTGAGACAAAAGCGTAAGACCGTTTCCCCGCGGTCCCCTTGCTTTTTCGCTTTTCCGTTTTTTTTTTTTGTTTTTTTTTTTCCGTTCTTTTTTTTTTTATATCTTCCTTTTTTCCTTTTTCGTCCTGATTTTTTTCTTGATTCTTTGGGCCACGCCGCAAATCAGAATGAATCTTCTCCTATAAAACGGAAAGATGCGCGGCCGTCATTTTCTTTTGTGCATTTGGTGACTCTTACATGCGAGGCTCCTCACTGTCGCCCCGCCGCCATCCGGTAGGCCGGCAGTATGGGTTTAGTCGCACTATGGCCATCCATCCGCCAACATTACGAATGCATATCGAGGCATTCTCTGTCCACATTCATTCCAAATTTTGGCGGGTGCCAAGTGCGGCGCGAATCGGCCGTGTATCCCGTTCCGACCTAGCTTGAAATGTGCGAAACGCAGAACGTATCTTCCCGTTAATCGTGGAAATGTTCACCCGCCACCGGCCACAGTTTTGTCTCTTTCACATTTGATTGATTGATAAGTCGTGCGTGTGCAACCAACGGCCGCTGAGTTAGGCCAGATCCCACTAGCCCCTATTGTTCATTTCTGACCGTTGATCTTCGTAATCTAGGGTGAAAAATGAATAATCCACGGTAGTGGGATCTGACCCTTAGTATATTATATCCATGAAGTGTACAATACGCAGACCTGAGTTCGATTCCAAAATTCCAAATGGGAAAAAACGTAAATAAGCGAAACTGGCTGAGGCTGCCAGGACACTCCGGGTTGAATTGTGAGGTCCCCGGCCTCTTTCCATTGTTCTGTAATTGATTGTACAACTTCCCAAAAAAAAAAAAAAAAAACGTAAAAGGTCGTGCCGCCGTGAAGCCCTCCTACCGAACCATGGATCTGGGGCGTGGTCCCACTAGCAAAGAGGATCGGATCGAATGCCTGCATCTGGGCGTGTTTGTGGAGAGGTGCAGGAAATCGAGATTGAACTGCGTTTCTGCATCTCACTAGCAAAGAGGATCGGATCGAATGCCTGCATCTGGGCGTGTTTGAGGAGAGGTGCAGGAAATCGAGATTGAACTGCTTTTCTGCATCTCTTCATAAAACACATCCAGATTCGGGCATTCGATCCGATCCTCTTTGCTAGTGGGACCTCGGCCCTGGGGTAGTAACACCTTGGGGATCGCTGCACGACGAACATGCAAAATGGTGGATGTATATTGTCCGTGATCCTGGCGAAATGCACCCACTAAAAGTTTTGTTTTCTTCTTAAGTTTTTGTTTTTTTTTTCCCACAGTCGGTGAGCGGTGCGGCGCGGCTCGAGAGAGGTGAAACCCCACCACAGCTCAGGCGGACCAGGCTCGTAGGGTAGAACCCCGCCGGTGCTCAAGCCGGCCACATCCGACAAGCCGCTGTGGGGACCACCACAGGACATAAGGCCTTGCCCCCCCAATTGCCAAATGGAAGAATGGCGAATGTATCACGCGCGAGATGGTAGGCCATATTCATCCACCGTTGTTATTTTAATTGGGGCCATGGAAAACAACGATCAAGACTCCCTCTTTTTTTGTGGTTTTTTCCCCCAAATTGGGCACCAAGCCGGAGGTCCGGTTCCACTTGCAAAGACGATCGGACGGCACGCCTGAATCTGGATGTGTCTGACACGAAGGTGCAGAAGACCTGATGAGTCACGATTTTCTGCATCACTCCACAACAACGTCCAGATTCTGGGGTTCAATCCCATTTGTTAGTGGGACCTCGCCTCCATCTGCTAGTGGGACTTCGCCTCTGGTGTCCAACATGTGTTGCCTTATGTACAAAGGCGGCCGGGGGCTAGGTCCCACTCGCACGAATTAAGAGATACTGACCGTAGATAGGAAGGATCAACGGCCGAAATCTCCTAATCCGTGCAAGTGGGACCTTGCGCCGGGGGATGACCGTGGCAACGTCAGTGCCAAGCTCTCAGCCACAGCGGGAGCCAGGCGACAGAGATTATCTATGGTGGCTACGTAACTAACAGGTAAGGTAAAAAAAAAAAAAACAGGTATGGTACCCTAGCTACCCGTCTTCCCACGAGCATAACGCACCCTTATAACGAATGTATAGAATGTGTATTTCCGGTCATGTACAGCCAAAATGAGGGTGCGTTGTGTTCGGGAGAAGGTGGTAACAGGCATGGTAGATTTTCTTCCCTGAATGCAGTCTCTCCCAAAAGGAATGTACAGCCCAATGTCATGTCCTATGTGGCTCGTACTGAGCAGTTTGTGCAAATGATGATTAGTAAAGGCGAAGACATAATCCCATCGCGAGACGGCCCGGTCAGAGTTACCTTCCGGCCGTGGTTGACCCAGCAGAAGCTGGATCAGCTCCGGCATGCAGTGTCGGCAGCCAAGTATAGGATTATTGCACTCCGCGTTCCGCTTGGAGCGATGTTCTCTCTGCGCAATGCCGGCCAACAACTATTGGGTCCGATCATCTGTATGCACCCCCCGGAGAAGAGCGTGGATGAGCCAAGGTTAGGCAACGTTAAAATAGATTGTGACCCGTCCGTGCGACAGACTTTCATCGAATGGATCACATTGAGAAGACCGTCCGGCCAGCTTCCGAGAATATAGTTAACTAACCAGGATACTCCCTTCTGTCAGAAGTGTCTCTGGTGGTACCATGATGAATTCGACCTGGATTGTCCGCGGTTTTCGGAGCCAATGCCATCAGGTAGACGTGCAAGAGGTAGGGGTCGAGGCAGACGTCAGACAGAGAACAAGGGAATGCCACATCAGGCGGGTCAGGGGGCTGCCAATGCAGCAACAGTAGCCGGAGGGAGGCCCCCCCCACAGTAGCGTCCACTTAGGATCAGGGAGCCATTACCTCCCCCGTCGCACGCAGCGCCCTCCACAACGCTGGGACATCCTCCTCTCCATCCGCATCTTCCCCCGCCCCCTTTACCCGCGCCCGCTGCAGCACAGCCCGGACCGAAAGGCCCTCGAGCTAGTGGACTGCAGGGGAGTGGTCCATTGGTTCCTACCACCCCCCACAGGCACGTATTCCATCCCTCTATGCCCACCAAGGCATCACTTGTCAGAACGCAGCTCCCCTACCTCTGGGACCGGCACAGCCTAGCGCCCCATTATCTGCTCCAACAGTCTCACTGGTTAATAGCCAGGGCCCAATCTTTCTCAGATCCCCTCCGCTGGTCTCCCTTTCCTGTCCAGTTGTTCCCCCGTCCCTGCAGCTGACTGCTCCACTGCACACAGCTACACCGCTGGGCAACTATGCACAGCCCCCCTTCTCTGCCCCACCGATCAGTCAACCCATGACACCTTTGCCTCCTCTGGCTGCTCCATTAACGCAGCAACCGTTGGCCTGCTTCACCGTGCAAACAATCTCCCTGCTCCAACTCTCCAGAACTACACCGTTTACGATAACCCAGAGTTTACATACCTGCCTCCAGCCCCGCAGTTCCTACCAGCACAGGCATCACCCGGGCGGACTCCAGGTCCCACCAGGAGTCGGAACAGGGCACAGGCATGCTGCGCCAGCACCAGGAGGACACAACGATGAGGGATCCCGGACGCCGTTCAAGCAGCGGAGGATTAATTAGGAGGGAGATGGTTGCATGACACGGGAAGAGGAGGAGGAGGAATTTGACTTTTATGCGATTCCAGTTCCCCCATCCCAGCTTGCAGCTTAGACGGGGCAGCTAGGGACATCCACATCTGCATTGCAGCCATCTAGCAGCAGGCAGCAGGCACTGGGGATCAGGCATCAGTTAATTATCTTATGTTTCATGTTGTCTCCGCAAGGCACCAAACTCATGGCGATGCGTACGGAGAAGGGGGTTCTAGCTATCCCCACGGTTGCTGTGAGCCTGCCGCCAACAACAAAGGAAGCAATAAGGGCAGTGGCAGCTACCTTCATTGCTGACCATTTTCCTTTCCGAATGGTGCCAAGAATTCGAATCGGGAGGAAAACAACAGCAGCAACAGCGGGAGGTAGCTGGGACTTCTCTATTGCAGTGCTTGACGTCAAAGTGGCTATGGAGACAACGGCCTTGCTCGCCACACAGGGAATAGTCTGGCTGCCCTCCAGCTGGTTGGCCTCCACTACAACTGAGGAGCTGCAAGAAACATACCTCACGGCTAATGTGAACGTGAAGTTGGTCGCTGAATTGTGCATCACTTTGGCGGTAGATAAGTAGCCGCACTCCGCGGGCTTTCAAACGCTCCTCATGGCGCCGTGGAGTAATCCTGCAGAACCGGAAGGCAACAGAAGATCAAGGCAGTTAAGGCAGCAGCCCACTCAGGAAGACACGCGGATCCAATCTCAAGCCGCGCAACTGTTAAGTAATGTCATACCTTAAAATAGCCACCTGGAACATTTAGGGGCTGGGGGACACGACGGGCAGACAAAAAAGACCCAGGCTCAAAACCTGGCTGCACGATCGGAAGGTGCAACTTTTGCTGTTGCAGGAGACTAAGCTTAACGAGGACAGAATCAAACAAGTTAAGGACTGGTGGAAGGGGCCCCAATTTTGGGCTCCCGTGGAAGACACAAGAGGGGGCTTTGCGATTTTGCTGCATCGCTGCTTGCAGATGGAGATCCTGGACCATGACCTGGACATCTGAGGGCGTTGGATTTGGGTGCGACTGCGCCTCGAAGCAGAAATCTGGACGCTGATGACAGTTTATGCACCCACAGAAAGGGCAGAAAGGCACTCTTTCCTCGAAGAACTACCAGGGATTCTACCGGGAACGGACAACATCCTCCTTGGTGGCGACTTCAATGTAACACTTGTACCAGGCTTGGACTCACCAACCTTTGCACCACCGAAGATGGATGCTTTGATGTTGGCCGCCTTGTTAGCGGAGCAGGGGCTAACAGACACGTTTCGCACAACACATCCGACAGTACCGGGGTACACCTGGTTCTCGTCTCAGACGTCTGGGGACAGCATCCCGCCAAAACGGAGGTTGGACTTAGTGTTGGCTAGGGGCTCCCCTTGGGAGTCCCTTACCACGGTGGACTGCCCGATTGAATTCCTATCTGATCACAGGCCACCAGTGGCAAGCTTCACCCTTCCAGATCAGCTAGTGAGGGGCCCAGGCACCTTTCGTTTGAACACCGATCTGCTCAACAAGCCGGGGGTTACCGAATGGGTTGCAAAGCATTGGGCGGATTGGCAACAGACTAAGGACCAATTCGAGGAGGAGGGCGACTGGCTACAGATGGGCTTGAGGATAGTCACCCGGGCCATGGACGTCTTTTCAAGAATGCAGGCTAGAGGTAGATGGCAGCAAGAGGAAGAGTGCAGAAGAATGGTAGCGGAGGCGGAGGAGGAGCTGGCAAGCGAGCCAGTTGCAAAATTATATTGGCAGCGCAGGCAGAACAGATGACTGCAAAGGTTGGAGGATCTCCAAGTGGAACAGCAGGTTGTGTGGGCCAAAAGGGCACAAGAAAGGGGCGTCCTGTCAACGGATCGGTTAACTAAGGAAACTTTTCAGCGCTTATGCCCTCCGAGACAACACTCGTTAATGAGGGAACGGCAACATCCGTTCCACGCAGAGGCGCCGCTGGCAACGGATTCAACAGCAATTGGAGAGTATGCTTTGACTTATTTCAAGGATATCCTAACTTCGCGGCGCCAACCAGACATCTCTTTGCAGCAACTGCAAGGGGAGCAAGACTTGCGGCAACACACACACACTCGGCTGGGACAGGAAGCCGCGGATGCTCTCGAGCAACCATTCACTGCAGAAGAACTTCAGCAGGTTGTCAAATGCATGGCCAGGGGCAAACGGTCGGGCTCAGATGGCCTGCCAGTCGAGTTTTACGAAGCGACATGGGAGCACATCGGGGCAGACCTCTTGAAGCTATATAATCGGGTCTCAGACGGCGACATCCTAACGGAAGAAATGAAACTGGACATCATTACGCTGATCTATAAAAAGGATGATAAGTCAAACATCCGGAACTGGAGACCGATTTCGAGGCTCAACGTGTCCTATAAGATTTTGGCGAAGGCACTGTCTAGAAGGCTTGCCCCGCACCTGCCGAGGCTTGTGCACAAAGACCAGGGTGCTTTTATTCAAGGTAGATCAATTGCGGAGAACATCTTGATGGCGGTGAGAGCGCTTGAGGTAATACCAAGAGAGAAGAGGCAGGTCATCGCGGCAATGCTTGACCTTGAGAAGGCGTATGACCTCGTTAACTAGTCTTTCCTGGTCGTCACGCTCTAGCATATGGGATTCGGCCCAAGATTCTGCACCTGGGTAAGAGAGCTATACAGGGATTCAACAGCTACGGTCAGCGTGAATGGGTTTCTCTCACCTACTTTCTCACTGTCACGCTCTCTGCGCCAGGGCTGCCCCCTGGCCTCCTTGCTCTTCGCAGTGCAGATGGAGATACTTCTCAATGCCTTTTGGGCCTCCCCACGCATCCAAGGCCTAGCCTTGGGGGAATCTGACACGCTGCTGACGGAGCCAATAGCGGACGACTTGTTGCTGGTTATGGAAGTTACGCAGGAGTCGATGGGGGAGGCCAAAACTCTCCTTGACACCTACTGCACTGTATCCGAAGCCCAAGTAAACTGGAACAAGTCAGTTTACTTCCTCCCGAAGGAATACAACTTAACGGGGCAGGACTGGGGGATGAAGCGCATTCCCCCGGACATCTCAAAGCGCTACCTCGGAGTGCAAGTCTCGCTGTCGAATGCCAAGCCAAGACAACAGGCCATTCTACAAGCCAAGGTTCAGGTCAGTTTGAAGCGTTGCCGCATCGCAGCATGCACATCACTGCTGGGGAGAGCGCTGCTGATCAATGCTGTCGTCTTTGCCCAGGTCTGGTTTATTGCTGATGTTCGCCTTCTCTCTAAAGAAGTCCTCAAGCCACTGACTGCAGAGGCAGCGCGCTACCTTTGGAAGCCGACCTCGCAAGAGGGGCAAGGCTACATCACCAAATGCTCCTAGGCTAAGGTGACCAGTAACAAGCAAGAGGGGGGGTTGGGCATCATTGACCCAAGACAACAAAACCTTGCTTTATTGATGAAATGGTTAGCGAGGGCGGCAACCTAGGTGGAGCGCAAAGGCTGGCTCAAGGTACTCGAATATTTGCTACAGCAAGAGCTCGGGCTCAGCAGAGTGGAGGACGTTTGGTCTTGCGTCTTCATGAGTTCCTATGTACGGCGGCAACTCCGCTCACCAACAGTCAGTGCCTGTTGGGCCGCATGGAAAGCCCTTTGCCCACGAGGGCAGGAACAACCGACAACCGGGGAGGAGGTGTTGGGGCAAAACGTTTTCGATAACCTACAGATATTGGACTCACAAGGCAGACCGTTTGCTGCGTCAACGGCCACTGGCAATTTTGGACGGAGATGGGTAGAGCGTGGAGTGGTCAAATTGGCGGACCTCTGGTGCATTGAGGAAGGGGACTGGAAGACAGAGCAGCAGCTCAGAACGAGGCTGGGGGGCCTGCAGCTCGTCCAAGTCAGGAGTCAACAAATCCAAGCAGCAATCCCCCCTGAGTAGAAGCAGTTGCTGCAAGCACCCAAGCTGTCAGTAGGGAAGTGGTATTGTAGTGATCAACCTGTGGATTTGACAACAGTCTACTACGTAACACAGCAATTGGATGAGGACACGTGGCAGGCACAAGCTTGGACACCTCGGCAAGAGTTTATGGGTACCAACGAGCTGCAACTGTTGGGAGAGGCAGCCTTAGATGGGAGACAAGAGCTGCAACAGATACGAGTGTATCGATACACGAAGCAAAGAGTCATTCGCTGTGAACTTCTCCTCAATGGCCTCCCCCTCAGAAACTTGCGTATTGACCCCTTGGCATGGTCATGGGAAACGTAGTCAGGTACCAGAAGGTTTCTGCACCAGTACACATCAGCATTCGGTAGAAGATAATTGCTGAAGTCCAACGCCCTTCCTGAGGCGTCTGCAACGACGCTCAGCAGCCATACCACGAGCAGTCAACCAGCGACCAGCCAAGGCTTGCGGAGGCTGTGGGATCAGCTCCCGGACCTCCCCTCACAGAAGCTGGCGGGTGTACTCTGGCTATTGTCTCACTCGGCCATACCTTGTGCTGAATGGCTGTACGAAAGAGGTATGGAACTGAAAACGAAATATAGAAGATGTGGTAGGGTCCACGAGGAGACGTTAGCTCATCTATTTTGGGAATGTCCAGCCTCCAAGCGGGTCTGGCAATGGTGGGAGAGACATTGGCACCGGTTTGTGGGTACACTGCTAACGTGGGATGAGGCCTGGGTAATGTACGTCGCCATACCAACAACATGGTTCATGCGCATGGGGAGGGGATATGTGGCGCAGGTTATCCGGGCCATCATCACTTGGGTCCTTTGGGAGGTCACGAACAAGATCATCTTCGAGGAGCAGTGGTCCAGTGAATCAACGCTTATCAAAAGGATAAAGTCATGGATTCGAACGCTGATCAGGGTGGACTGGGTCCGGAAGGCGGCTAGGGGGCGAACGTCTAGAGGAAGGCGCTGGTTCTTGGTCACATGGGCACGAGACAACCAACTAGCGGCAATCACGCATGGTGGCAAGATGGTCATCAGCCCCTGGCTATATGCCTAGGGATGGACTGGTACGCAGGCTCTGAAGAACGAGTGCACTCGGTTCCAGTGGGCAGGTATAGTAGCCTGCACAGGGGTCTTGGAGGGTGGAGAGTGCTCGTATCAATGGGGGGAATTGATTCCCACTCGGCCGCAATAGGCGGATATCAGGCCGTTGATAGGCCCTGTAGTAGGAATAGATTGGTTCTATTAGATGTCTAATCTGTAGTTGAGTCTGGCAGTAGGTCTGTGTGTTTCCCTCTCCTCTCCCCTTCTTCTCTGTTTCTCTGTTATCCCCTCTTTCTCCCTGGTCCAACAACCTGACCTTTTGGCATTGGCACGTCCTGCTAAGCCGTGGGTTGGGGTTGGCCTTCCCCCTACACTGAAGGAAATTGTGTGATGTAGGTTTTCGTCTCAGACAGATCAGTGCTCCAATTGGAACTTTTAAACTAAACCGGCTGATGTTGTTGGGATAACTCCGGGTAGAAGTGTGAGGTCCCCGACCTCGGTTTATCAGAGTTTGTAATTGACGTGCTACCTTTTAAAAAAAAAAAAAAAAAAAAGTGGGTGGGGAAGGGGAAAGAAAAAAGACAAAAAAACAAAAAAAATTGGGAAAAAAAAAAAAAAAAAAAAAAAAAAAAAAAAAAAAAAAAGGATGGCGGCAAGTGAGCACATATAGAAATTAAAAACTGTGACATAATTAAAAAAGAGAGTGAAAAGGATTGATCTGTCGGTCACGTCATCGAGGAATGGAAATGGAATGGAGCTCAAGCTAGCGCAATAATACTCCGTTTTTATTTTTTTTGTTGGGAAACTTTTTGAAATGCCCATGAAGTTTTCGTTTACTTGCGGCGTGCCCCTTCGACGGCCGACTTACCTTGTCGTACCCCTCTGACGACGAATGATGTTTCCAGAAAACCCCTAGCGTCGCTTGGGCCTAACACACGTTTCATATGCCCCTACCGGTACCAGTACCAAATTTCCAGTATGCCCCTACCGGATGGTCGTTGAGAACCAGCACAAAAGTTTCCCATATGCCCTTATTGGTACCGTCCATCTTTCAAGTTCCTTTCCAGCGAGCCCCTGTGGCCATTGTTGACACTCGCAGTCTTTCCCCTGGCCCCGGGAGAGGTGCTACCGGGGCATATCAGAAATTTGGCGATGAGCATGGACACACACACACATACAACACACGTGCACACGCACACACACACACACACGCATACACACACACACACACAACACACACATATACAGACACTCGCGCGTGCATGGGCGATGAAACCAAGAAGACGACCATGGTGATGGTTAGGAGGTCGACAATCGAGGAGGAGGACAGGGAGGGGTGATGACGAGATAGTTGGAGGAGGGAGGAACGAAGGAAGAGGAGGGAAGAGGAGGGAAGAGGAGGAACGAGGGAAGAGGAGGGAAGAGGAGTAGGGAGGACAAGGACTATGACAATGATGGACGAGGATAGAGGATGGAGGCTGGAGGAGAAGAGAGGAGAGCGAGGAGTGTGGATGGAGGAGGAGGGAGGAGGGCGCTAAGCACGGATGGAGGAGGAGGGAAGAGGGCGATGAGCACACACGCACACAGACACACACACACACACACACACACACACACACACACACACACACACACACACACACACACACACACACACACACA